ACTGCTTCAGACGCATTGAGCTGAAATATCCCCAAAATTATAATCAAGTTCCAGGATCATGGCAGTACCACCTAAGGCTCTCAAGATGTTTGGAGTTTGGTAAGGACATGCATATTGCCTCCACTAGGATCCACCCAGCCACTTAGCTACTTCTAGCCTAGTGGAGGCTAGTCTTGGGCAGCATACATGTGGGTCTGTACTAGCTGTGTTTAGGAAAAAGGATCAGCCTCCAGCCCTGTTTTTTTTAGTGTCATAGATGTTAAATAGATGCTAAAACATCAGAATGCCAATGCATTGTCTCCTTAAACACCACCAGATCTCAACCTTCCCAAATCCTACATAAGGATTTTAATTCAATAATTATATTTTTCTAGACCCACCAAATACTGACTGCCAATTCTATCTAGGGGCTATATTTATAGTTGCTGCACATCTCTAACTGGATCTGAGGCTGTGATGCACTGGCCCTTGCTATCAAGTGAGCACTCACACAGTTGGCGGCTCCTTCCCTCCCTACCAGTAGGATAGGGGAGAAAACAGGAGAAGGAGTGAGAAAATCCGTTCGTCAAAATAAAGCTTTTTTGTCTGTAAAGCTCTGTTGCCTCTAGCTGTTAAAAACAATTTTTTTAATTTTATTTTTTGGGAGACAGAAAGACAGAAAAGGATCTTTCTTTTGCTCTGAGAAAATTCCTCAGTGGACATGTGAAATATTAAGAATCGTCATATTCCCTCCCTCACCTGTGTTTCTCATGAAATTGCAATAATAAAACAAAATAACTTCTCTGGAGGAACATTTTCTACTGAACCTTTATTTCCAACTCTGCAGCATCATGAACTATACCAAAAATGAGAGGTATCAGAGACCTTTTCTCACTATAAAGGATCTGGGTCAGCCAAGTCATCATTTCTTTGGGTATGTTAAATAGGATAAAACTCACTTCTATGAAAGAAATAGTATTAAAACCCCCATAAAATTAAAACAATGTAATGTTCCCTATCTTTCCTTCCCTGAAGACAACTGTTTGTTCTTCATTATTTTACTGTTGGTTCATGGCATTTTAAGGTTTTGAATTTTTAAGAGTTTTTTTTCCACAACCACATTTCATTAAAAACTAAGATTTTTATTTAATCCAAGAATACTAGAAGCCTAAAGCCTGAAGAAAAACATTAAAATGAGGGAGACCTTTGAAAGGACAGCCAGGTGAGCTTTTATACCACCCACTTTCTATTTTTCTCAGAAGCCAGAAAATGGTATTAGAAGGCCTTGATTGCTGGAGAGATGTTTCTTCCTTTGTCATCAGCATTAAAGCACTTAGTCCTGCAGCTGAATATGATGCTCAAGGGTTCACATACAAAGCTTTTTTTCCCTGGATATTTTAGCTAAGTAGGTAAGACACACAGCTGAATATACTACAGAGTGTATTAAGTAATTGATAATTGGGAACATATCTATATTTTAGAGCAATGGCAAATGATGGCAAATATCCCCAGAATAATATCTATAATTAGAAATGCTTATTTAGTTGTTATACCATGATGGCAAAATAAGAATTGAATTTTTAGAGGTGCATTTTACTTTACCAATGTTTTTTCTAGCTGAGTACTCTACTTTCCTCTACAATTAGGTTGATTGCTTTCTGCAGGGTTGATAGAACTAATTGTTACCGCTGAAGATGCTGGAGAAGAGAAATTTCTATGATCTCTGGAGAGGAGCCCCAGGAGGAGGGTAAAATGTCAACATTTGGTTAAGATTTATTCTTGTTTAGATTGAGGACTGGAATTTGTCAGGTTCAGCAGAAAGAATGCCATTAGGTTTGACAAGTGCGTGTGTGTGGATGTGTTGGGTAATCTATTTAGGAGATGTAAAATGCTGCACACACTTCCCATCTTATAGCAAAAAGCTGAAATTGACAGTACCTGTCAAAAGTATCATCTTCCACCCTCTAAAAGAAAATTGACCCTTGCTTTCTCTACAGTATTACAGCATTACAGCAGGTCCACCTTTAGCTAATACTGCTTCAGCAAATGGAAGTGGTCATTGAAAATATAATTAACCTGGGGTCCAGAATTTGCTGTATTGAGATGCAGTGCCTGAAGATTATTGCTACATTTTAGGAGCAGATCTTTAGCCTGGAGGATGCTATGCATATCTATATTGCTATATAAATAACACTAAATAATAAAGCAGGGCTGTTTTAAAGGTCTGATGTTACAAAAACAATCAGGACTACAAATGAATGATTTATATAATTAAAAATGCCTGCAAAAAATCTATTGGAAAAGGCAAAATTAAGTGGTAAACTGCACAAATGGTATCAGAAACAAAGATGTCTAAGAGCTATTGCTCCAGCTCTATGTCCAGAAGGAAAGTCCTTGAGAAGTCTGGCAGTATTAAAATAGTATTTGCTGTATTCTTGAATAGATATTTTTTCTTAACAGCCTTTAAAGCATAGATTTACTTATTCACAAAAGATACATGAGCTTTTTGGCATATATACTATCTTCTACAAGGAATAATTATACTCTTTGAATTCCTAAAGGCCATGATTAGTTCCAGCTTAGGATTTTATATAATATGCTACCTTGTGGTACCTAGTCAACCAAAGGTGTCATACAGACAATTATAGTGTCTAGAAAGAACATTACATTCTTCATTGTATTATGGTTCCAAATACATTACCTAAATAAATTAGTAGAAGTCCACAGCTCATGTTTTTTTTTTTTTAACTTTTATAGTATATTGTGGTAATTAAATATACAAATGCTTGTAGGAGAATTAACTCTTACAATTTCTAATCTTGGCTGAGAGGATTTATTCTTCATTCATTTGTATGCTCATGACAATTCAGCAAGGCTCAAGTACTGACTTCTCCAGTTTTATATGATATGCCTCATGATTTCCTTGATAACTTTCAATTATACTCTCTTCTCTGCCTGACCTCAGAAACTTTTAATCTTTAGGATGAAACTTTGGTCACAGCCATTCTAATTGGACTGATCAGGTGCTACATTTACAGGTTCTTTGGAAATTCTCAGTGGTAAAAATCCCAAACACACACGGGATCCTTGTTATTAATTTCACAATATTTAACCTGGTTTAACCATTTCTAGATTCTCCTTCATTCCTGACAGAGACTCTTGCCAGCATGGATCCTGACTGCAACATGGAACACTGCAGCACAGACTGGTTAGGGAAATAATTTATAGGAAAAGTATGCAGACAATTAACTTCAATGGCATAACAAATCTGGACAACATTGCTACACATTAATAGTGACAATATGCTGGAACACACCAGTGTTTAGGATTGAATTAAATAGTAATGGACAGATTGTCTCCACCAGCACCATCCTGTGCATAAAGTAGCACACAGCTGTGCCACGCTGAGAGGAGCTTCGGGAGAGAACCATAACCACAGACCCAGCTGCTTTCATTCCTCCCCTCCTGGCTTCCAAGGAAAACAAACTACACTCTTTCACTCCTGGCAGAAGATACATTCTCCTCATGTTGATTATCTGGTTTGCTCCATGTAATCCATTAGCTTCCTGCAGCTCTCTGTCCAAAAAGCAGCAGCAGTGGTGTGGCTGGTGATGTGAAAAAGATGTTTTGAGCACTGTTCTCCATCTCAGAGCGTGCGTGGATGTATTTGTATGGACCATATTATGACCCAGTGTCTTTAAGAGACCAGTTTTGCTTGGACTCGTACAATGACATAGAATATTTCCTGAGTTCATAGATTATAATTTCCTTACAAAGGTGATCAAGCACCTGAGAGGGGCAGATGCTTTTCTGGATTTGATACTTGCAAAGGAGGAAGAATTTGGCTGCTGTGATGAGGAGACAGTAGTATTTGGGCAAAATAGCTTTGGATTAATGAGAACAGAATCTGTCCTGTTAAAGGGTCTCAGAGATCAGCTTGAAAAACTAAGGAAGGAGACCCTAAATACCAAAACTTCCAATTTATTGTTTTTTAAGATGTTTGCTAATCAAGAAAGTAGTAAGCAACATGCTATTCTGCTTCAGTTCTATGCAAATAAATTAATAACAAAAGATTATTGGGGACATTTTTATTGATTCTAAGATAAGTTTTAAGTTTCGAAGAAATCCAATTCCACTGAAGGTTTAAAGAATTAATCATACATTATTGTATGTTATATGTCCAATAAAGAAGTAAAAATGAATGCACTTCTTGATGAACGGATCATCATGCAACTTCCAGTGACTTCTGTTCAGTAGAAAGTTAAATTTATACATCTTTCTAAGGTTAATGAAATGCTGTATGTGGTCAGCTCTCCTCTGCGGTACTTTACAAAGATACTTAAGAGATGCTCAGAGGAGCAATCGCCGTTTGAAATAGGAGGTAAGGAGAGTCATTCTTTTTGTCCAGTCGCACTACTTAGCGACCCGCAGGTGATCCCATTCCATCGCCAGCGCTACCAGGCAGGAGGGAAGGAAAAGCAGCACAAGGGAAAGAGCCGCTTCACTGTTGTACGGACACAGGGCTGAGCATTTTACTGATTATGATGTGGGACGAAAGGCGGTGCACAGGGAGGCATCAGATGAGGAGCGCTTCCAGAAGGGTGAGCTATGATCCAAAGTGGCAGCATTTTCAGGGAATCGAAGTATAAACACAATGAAACATACACAGACATCAACTGAGGTGCAAGCAAGCATGTAGATTTTAAAACGCATTTTAGCGGGGTTTTTCTCAGATTAATTACGCTTTATACTTTCCTTTACATATATCCCCCCCGACCCCTCTTTCTAAAATCCTGTATATTCTGAAATGGGCACGAATAATTTCCGTGTGGCCTGAATGTTTTTCCCACTCCTGATCCCATTTGTTAATGCGCTGATTATCCCTGATGTCCGCATTGATTATCCCATATCACTCCGTTTCCCGCTTCCCCCGGGCTGCGGCGCGCCTGTCTTGGCCGTGCGGGAGGAGGGGTTTCGCGCTCCGTCCTGCCGCGCTGTTTGTCCCTCCGGCCGACCCGTAGTGTTCGCTCCTCCTCGCGCCATCATGGAGGGTGCCGAGGGCCTGCGCTACGCCGAGTACGCCCGGGTCCCTACGGGCGCCGGCAAGGGCCAAGCCGAGCTGGACCGGGGACTGGTGAGCGCACGGCGGGACCCCCACCCTGGGTCCGTGAGGCCGCTACTGCCCCGTCCGCAGCCCCGGCCTTCATATGTGTGAAGGGTGACGTGTGTGAGCGGGGCGGGGGCGGGGCTGCGGGACAGGCGTTCTGCGCTCCACTCGGGCCGGGCAGGGGTCTGGGGCAGAGGGGCCTGGGCCGGTGCCGCGGGTGCAGCTGTGGCGTGGGCAGCGGGCATGGCCTCCCAGCCCTGAGGGGAGGGCACACCCGGGGGTCCGTGAGTGCTCGTGGTCCCGGGGAACGACGGAAGGCAGAAGGTCCTCAATCGGAAAGTTTTATTAGAGTGTTACATGGTCGGTGTGGAAATGTTGGCTCTGGCCTGTAAGCACACGGCAGCGGGTTTTGGATACAGGGGTAGGGTGAAAACAGAAAAGAAGATGTGAATTAAAGAAGACTAGAAAGAGAAGAAGAAAGAGAGGAAAAGTGAGAGAGTAAAGGAGATCACCAGTCCTGGTTCCAGCCTCAGTCCAACTGATGAAATGTCCTGGGGGTGCCTGGGAATACTTTTCTATGGATAGGTTTTCCCTGCCAAGAAGACAGGTTTCTCTTTTTCTGCACATTTCTGGAAACAGGCTGGAGGGCTTGGGGGCGTCTTGGTGGTCTTGATCTCCTCCCCTACAGTCCATGCCCAGTGCTTGGCCTTGCACTGTACCGTGCTGTGTTTACCTCCAGGAGCTGGAGCAGGGAAAAGAGCTGCCCTGCCTCTGCCCCTTCTCCAGCCACATTTTGTTCTTCCCCATGGGCAATAATCCTTAGTTATTCCTAGCAGTTCTTGTCTGTCACCACCGAGAGCCCTTGGTTGGCTCCACAGCCAGTGTGTGTTTGGAACATACACATTAGTCCCTTATCTGCTGGGATTCCACAGCAGGGCACATGGGAACACTTCAGCCCCAGCACTCACAAACGAGGCCAAAAATTTTGTTCCCTGCCATGAAAAGGTGATACCTGATGTGTTTTCACCCACTGTGCAAATGTTATTACCACAGGCAGGTTTGAGTGTTGAAGGTTTTGTAGAGCTCTGTTTCAGAAAAGTAATTCTCATCTGGTACTTCATACTGTGGGAAAGGCTGGGTGGAGGCAGAGTGTCAGCAAAGTTGCCTGTGCTCTATCGTGCTCTAGAGGAAAGGTTGCTGGGATTTTATCCCACTTCTTCATTCCTGTCACTTCAACTAGTTCAGGGAACAGCGAGCTCCCATTGGAAATAAGTATTGGGAAAAGCACATGGCTTAAAGCCCCAGATGGTGAAGTTTTCACATTTTTTAAATGGCTTAAAAGTCTTACTTGCCTAACCTAATTGTGTGTGTGAAGTTGTCTCTACAATATTTCTACTTTTTTAAAACACAGTTTGAAAAATCACAGTTCTCTCAGTTATTTATTCATTGTTACTACAGTCTAGGACTTTTTTTTTTTCCAGAGAAGAATCTTCCTGTGTATTTAACAGCAAGTGTGTAATCTTAAGAAGCTGGCTCTGAAACTCATTATTGTCATGGCCATTCTCCCTGTGGAATGCTGGCAGGGAATTTCTCGAATTTTGTTCAGTCTTTGGGCCTTCTTACCCATGAGAGATAAAAATTGCACTTGGAGTTAGCATGGCTTGCTTTGTTGTTGTGTGTATTGTCATGTTCTTACTGAGAGGTCTGGAGACTGAGGTGGGTCTTTACAGGACTGAAATCTGGATGTCTACAGTTTTCTGTTGGAATTTATTCCTTAGTCCAGGGTATTAGCTGAAAGTCACTTGATCATGGTCACATTTACTCTTGTAGTTGTTTTACAAAAGCATTTGGAGCAATGGAAGAGCAGCAGTGGAAGCATGAGGGGTCTGTGCTGAAAGATCACCCACAGGAGCCTTTGTTAATTAGTGCATACTCAAGAAGATTGATTGGAATACCTTATGGTAATTGTTCTATTAGTGAATCTTGCTCTGGTTCCATTTCCTCTGAAAAACCATCCAGAATTGTAGTTGTAGCTTTATATACAAACCAAAAAGGTTGCTGGAAGTTAAAGGACACAAAATGACATGAGAATTGTGTCAGTATGGAGAACAGCATCTAGCTGAAATTACTTTCAATTCACTGTGGAAAACAAATTAAATTTCATAGGAGGGTTAAGACTAGAGGGAGAATACTAGATTATGAAATAAAATTGGTTGCATAGAGTTTATAATATAATCCCACTTCACAATGGTTCTGCCTCCATATAGTGTTACGAAGGTGGTTTGCTCTAGAGCGGTATTCCTATAAACTGTAGCTACTCTTCTGAGGAATAGAAGCCTTATTCTATCTTCCATACCCAACAATCATTTATATTTCCAGTCAAGAATTTTTATTTAAGGGAATATCTATTTTCAGAAATATTTTTGTACACTTAGTTAATATACTTTTGTATCCTACTTCTTAGCACTGTATAGAACTAAAAAAACCCAGAGCTAACAAACCAAACCTTGAAAATGTTTAGTTAAGCAATTTATACTTGTGTGTATTTAGTTGAATGTAGGTACCTACTTCCTATTTTGCTGGTCCACGATTAAGCATGGATTAATTGCAAAATGCCATTCAGCCCATGAAAACAAATTATTATTTTCTCTGTGCTTTTTATTCTGTTCTTCTCACTGTAGGTTTCTGAGGCAAAAGACTGTAGGACTCCTGCTGTGTGTGTGAAACTTAGTAGTGAGGAGAGCAAAATATTTTTCATTTGACTGAGGGTGTTCCACTAGTTGTAGTAGAAGAACCAGTATAAAATCCAAATCATATGCAGGCAGATAGGTTTTAATATTTGGAAAGCATTAACATTTGCAGCCCATTGTCAGATTAAGAGTGTTGTGCTGAAGTTTTAAAATGATGCATTTGAAATTCTCCTTTTGTTTATAAATTTAACTTTTTTCTACTTCATAGAAGAAGAAGAAGAAGCTCTAATGCTAAGAACTCCATATGTAATTTTATTTTTTGAGTATTTTTAAGTTAGAAGGGCACCTGGATTGGGGATTTGCAAAAATAATATCTCGTCCTCCCCTTCTTCTGCTAAAAAGTTAAGGCTACTGGAGAATTAAATATTAAAGGAATAGGCAGAAATTCTCTGTTTTCTGACATACTGTGTGTTACTTAATATGCTTTATGGTCTTTTGTTTGCCAAACACTTAGGTAAATCAGGTCTTGGCAGTTGCCTTTCTAATGCTTGTGCTTTCTTATAGTGACTTCTGAAAAGGATTAAGAAAATTCAGGTTTTACAGATTTAGCATAACTTTTTCATTAGCTTCCTTTAGCAGGGTTTGTTACTGAAGACTGAATTACATAGTAAAATTAAAATACTGAGATCAGCAGAATAGCATGGGGTTGATGACTAACCTTTGGGAGCTGATTCATTGAATAAAGAAAAGGACAGATGTTAGTTTTTAATATTTTATTTCTTTATTTTTCCCTCTTGGATTGTAACATAATGATTTCATTTAAAATCCACATCTTGGAAGTTTCTTAACAGCATTTTTGGAGGGGGGAGAAGGTCAATTCTGTCATAATTGAAAGTCAGTGTGTATGTATTTATTTATTTATCCCTTATGAAATGCAATTTCAAGCAATAGGAGACAAAAATGGTCATGGTGGTAGTTGTATTAGCATGCTGTAAAGGAACTGCTGCCTTCCACAGAGAGAGCGAGTTGCTTTCATTTAATATTGACGTGAAAGGAGTGCATTTAATTAAAGCTTTGGACTTTACATTTCAAAGCACCAGGCTGACCTTGACTGATTCTTTTAAATATTCAACTGAGTTGAGAGAGCACAGAAAAGGAAACTGAGTCCAGTCGGACTTGAAGAATTTACTTGTTAGTACTTGAAGTTGCCACTGCTTTTATGATAGTCTGTGTCAAGAAAAAGGCCAAACTTGCAATCTCACACTGATCCAAATTCCGTCTTTGTCACATGTGTATAGTTAGGATACATTCACACCATAACATTCAAGATGCTTTGGTGCCTCAAGTTATCACTTCTTTGCTAATATGTGGCAAGTGACTCTTCTCTAACGTGCTCATAATGTAAATAAGGTGAGTTACCATAAACCAGTATTTCTCAGATTTTCTGATGCCTGTACCTCACTTAAATGTGCGGACAGTCTTTTGTTCCTCTCTGGCTTGAGCTTTGTACCGGTTTTACCAAGTTTTCTGTCTTGTCTTTATTTCCCCTTGATCCTGCATCCTGCTCCTATTCAAGGGCTGGCTGCTATGGTTTGTTTTTACCTGCTGTACTCCGGGCATCAGTAGCTTTCCACTGACTGCTGGTGCTTTCCACTGAGGTTGGACTAATGCATTCCAGTGGACATGGCTGACTCTGTGAAAGGCCCTCAGGGGTCTCTGCATTGTTCTCCCAGATTACTGTGCAAAATCACTTCAGCTACTTCTGCACTGAACTGACAGAATCCTGGTGTTAATAGTCTGGTCTCTGTGCTTGGTCTTGCCTGTGATGAGGTGTCTGCTGCTAATGCCTTGTTGGAACCTGCATGTCTTGTAAACTGCTGACTTAAACCACCTTTTTGGTGGCAAAGCAAGTATAACTTAATTTGGACAATCAAAGGCTAATAAATTTTTTTTTGCCAGCGTGATCTATTTCACACATTGTTGAGCTCTTAATTGACTGTAACCACTTAGTAAAAGATTCTTGCTGTCAGTCTGAGTAAGTCAAGGAAACTCTTGAATATTAATCCATGGTCACTAACCACAAGACAGAATAATATAGAATTCCTATAGGGTTAGGATATTTCTAGAAAGGTGGCTGTTTGTGGTTTGTGTCAAAGTGGAGGAATTTTTTTGAATGTTTGAATATTGAGAGCCTGGGAAAACTGATTTGTGAGAAGAAGTGAAAAGAGTTTTAGTATAGTGAGAAGATGAACTGTATGCTTCACAATTTTACACCATCTACCATTTAAGATAACATCCTTAAACATTTTCATGGGGAAAAGACGAGAGGAAATTTTGTGGAACTGAAAGGAACAACAGACATAAAGCTACTATATTATTTTTACATTTAAAATGAATGCTACTATTGAGACTGAAGACCACACTGAAATGGAAGAGTTAAATTACAAAAATGCAATATATAGGCAAATATCTAAGGCAAAAATTCCCCCTCAGGTAGGTGGTGGGAGGTAGGTGTTTAGTTAAAATCTGCAGCATCCAGATGCTAGATCCAGAGGAATACAGCTGCTTCTGCCAGTGACCTCAGAGGAGGCTGGGACTTTTGCCCTGAGCTCAGTGCTACAGGCAGCAGTCACAGCCACTCGCCTTCAGAGCCAAAGCTGTAGGAGCCACTGGGCGTGAGGGCAGCTCCTGCATCTTGTACAGCTGCCTCTCTCTGGGCATGTTGCCAACCCATGATCTAAGTCCTACTAAGCCAGCTCTAGGAAGGCTTTGAAAATAGTATTTCTGAACTCTTCCCCTGCTCCCACAGTCTGGAAATGAGATTGGGTACAATTGAAAAGAAAGTATTTTAGCCCCAGAAATCTTAGTGGTAAAGGCGCCTGGGTTCCAGATCCAGTTACTAGGGCATTCACATTGAAGGTACAAAACGTATAAACCAGTTATGGGATAGTTGTGGAAGTAAGTCATATATAGAAGAGACAGTCTGGTGATAAAAGCATTTTCACTGTCATTATGTTTTGAATTCAAGATAAACCTAATCTGATTGCTCAGGTTTCCCAGGGGGAAATTCAAGGCATTATTGAACTGTCGTATGATAAGACAGGTGATACCACAGATGACTATTTCCTTTGTTTCAAAGATTGCATGGAGGATTTTCAGAAGGGGAGAGCTTGTTACCCTTCCTGAATTCTGCAGACATGTGAGAAGGCAGTCCTTTCTTCAAGGTTTACTTCATATCTTTCTTCAGCTTCTTGATCAACACAGAAATACTTCTTACCCTTCTTGAACTGCCTGACTTTTTCAATCACTGTGTAGGAAAATACATACATCTGATATGGGAGTTAGTTCTTCATGTTTTTGTAGTAAACTGATACTTTGTTATGTAGAACTAGACTGCACAGGTAATTTCAAATAATGCTGTATAGTTTTATGCCTTGCGTTTTTATCAGTGCATACTGTGAGCTGATTTCAGTGTGTGTTCACTGATTTGCTCGTGGGTAGTTCAAGTTAAACCTGATACCATGGTGGAAGTCAATGGGACTGAACTATAAAATCCAATAGCCTGTGGAATACAGAACTTACTTTTGTCGCTTTCATAGCTTATAAATGAAATGTCCACATTAGACATCAGAAATGCTCCTTGTTAAAGTAAAAGGTGTGTATATATCAAATTAGAATTCACATGTTATTCTGATTCCTGTTTTTCTGCTTTAGGCCAGGACTATGATAGCACTCGGACTTGGTGTTGCAACTGTTGCATTTGCAGGTAAGGTAAATTACCCGCAGAACTCTCACTTTTGTGAGCTGTGGTTTCCAAAAGGGTTAATGAAGTTTTTATAAATATAAATAGTGGAAAGTGGAAAGGTTGCTCAAGAGAACTATGAAAAATTGTATCTACCTATAGAAGTCATAAGAATTGTGTTCACCTTCAAAGTAATAAATTCCAAAACTCTTTTTGAAAAAGGTGGAGAAAGCTGGATAATGTAATTTCATGGACAGCAGCTAAAAAGCTCCATCTGCTTTTTGTCTGCAAAACGAAAGGTGAAAAGTTTATTTACTTAATAACATATTGCAGTGTAGAGGCCCTTTAGTATGGAAGAGTGCAACAAGATGCTGTGATGATAAGGTGATGCTCAACAAATTGAAATAGAGGAAAATAAAAGGTTTTAGTGACTAGTGATTTATCATACTAACTGTTTCCATACTACATTTTTTATTACATGAACTCTTTGCATCTGGACTGTTTGTTATTCTGAAAAATATGTTCTAGTATGAAGACAGGGTATGAGTTTAACATTAAATAATGGTTAGCAGAAAGCATTAAGAAGACAGTGAGGTAATGGTACATCTCAACATTTCAACAGAGATAGTCTAATGTGGTTTTGACTTCTGTGTTACCATAGGCACGGGCTTAGATCGCTAAAACTTACAGATATGATATGTGTTGTAAGAATGAATGCAAGATGCTATTTGAATGAAGCAGAGCCGAATTTATAAATAGTTTTTCCATTGTGTGTAATATTAAGTTACATTGCTAAAGAATAGTTAAAACAGTAAGTGGGGAGAGAGGATTTGCATGGAAAACCCTCCAGTAACGTGGCATAAATCTTGATTCTGGTGTTGATAGATCTGCTTTGTTCTCTGGGAACACAGCCTTACAGGAATCCCTCTAGTCTTTCCTGGCTATAGACACTCAGTGCTAGTGGGGAATTGAATGGCTCTGAATCCCAGAAGATCATCTTTTTCTAATGAAATTAAAAATTCAGTATTTACAAGGTGTGTAATTAAGCATACAGCATCACAGCAAGAAATGTGTAGTACATGGATTTCTTTTTTTGAAGACATAACCTTTGAAGAGTATTTGATAAATAATGTATACCCAAAGCTAATGTTTCAAACCACCCTTTTTCTTAAAGTTCACAAGGCAGGTATCTTCATTTATCATATTGAAATGTATTTAAATCTATTTATTTAGTGAGTTAAATAGTGCGTAAACACAATGGGTCTTTGCAGTCCATGACTAGGTTTTTAGATGCAGTGTACTAAAAGTCTTCTCCCTCTCCCAATAGTTTGGGTTTTTTTAAAAATAAAATTCTTTCTGCTGTAAACTGATGAACATAAGTTGGAGCTTGTTTGTGGGGTGTTTTTTTTTGCATTTTAGTGAATATTTCATTTACCTCCATCTTTTTTTAGGTCGTTATGCTTTCCGTGTTTGGAAACCATTGGAGCAGGCAATTACAGAAGCAGCAAAGAGGATTTCAACTTCTGTAAGTTTGGATACTACTTTATGCTAAATTTATGATTTTGTATTTCAAGTATTCAGAAAGGAGATATTTTATGTTAAATACAGTAAAGTGCCAGGTAGATATTTTTTTCCCAGGCTAGGGCTGCTCTCTGCTGTGTAAGTTCTGGCACATTGTCTTCTCTATTTTAAACCCCTATGGATGAAGCTGTATCAAAAGATGTTTATGAGTTTGATAAGCAGTTGCAGTTTTTTCTACTGATGTTCCTTGTTTTGGAACCCTTTACTAGTAAGTGTAAAGGTAAATTGTTCAAGTACGTGGTGAGAAAGTCACTAATTCCTAACTATTGCAAAGAGATGACATGCAGTTTCATTTCCAGCAGCTAAAAGTGAAAGAATTTAGTCTTTTAGATACAGTGTTAAAAATCAAGAAGGCAAATTGATGAACTTCTAGGACGGGTTGCCATGGAGATGGGAGAGCTTGTGTGCTGGTTTACATGGGAGTTGTCTTTTTCTTCTTCCCCAGCTAATTTGAACTTTTAACCAGGTTTTTGTTCTTTGTTTTTTTCCTGCTGGTTAAAAAATACAATAATGAGGTAAAAAATCAAGAAGTAGAATGTTTTGTGGGATGCATATGCAGGGAATATTTGAGAGCATTTACTTACTGCTTCAGTGGCTATGTTTTCCTCGGGTAAATAAATACATGTCTTCTATTCCTGTTTGATTGAAGTAATTCCCAATGAGCTAGATGTCTGCTTGTAGCAGAATGTTCCTTCAGAGTTCATAGTCTGTGTACACTTATCCACAGCAAAAGAATGCTATTCCCTTCATGATGCTGATGGGTGAGCATGTTCAGAGAGTAGTTGTTGCAGGTTATTATTTTCTGAAAAATATTCTAAAGGTAGGTTTTTAAAAAACATGATATTAGTATTGTACCTACTAATGTTAGGCCAGTTGCAACACAGAGCCTGTCTAGACAGACACTGAGGTCCAAATTCATTTGCCATCTGTACTTGGTGTTCCTGTGCTGAAGGTGCAAGCTTGGTCAAGGCAAGCTTCCTGGGGAGGAGATTCAACTGTCCTCTTGGGACTGTGTGTTTGCTTGCCATGTGTTTCAGCCAGAAACAGTGCTCCTAGAAAACTTTTTTTGCTCTCTGTCGCTCTTATTGCATTGCTGTTCTGAGACCACTGTCAATTTTTTTTTCCTATTTCAAAAAAAATTTTTGAGATATTCCCATATTGCCTGCCAAAACAACAGAGGGGACTTTAGGTACTGTGAATTAAATTGCTTTCACATGATACAGATACAGGCTGACTTGTAGACTTGCTAGATGTAGCTGGCAGTACATGTGGCTTCAGAGTATGGAGTGCTTCAGTCTTCACCCTCCCTCCCTCCCTAACTGTTTTACTCCAGCCATTCTTTTTCTATCCATTTGTAGATACAGGCTAGAGAATCTAAATTCAGATACATTCACATAAGAAAGCATGCAGTGACTCTTAACACATTCAAATGTGACATGCTACTGCATGGAGAGGTGTCTGTTCCTAGGAAACTGCACCCCTCAATACTGACTGAGCCAAGCTCATTACAGACCTATCTCATTTTTACCTCAGTGACTTTGAGTCCTGCAGAATTCATGAACAGCCATAAAGAGCAAACCAGGAGCTTCTGCATTCTAAGTGTTCTTAGTCCCTGGAGCAGTATCCTCTGTCTGCTTTCACATCCTGCCTTTCTGCCCAGAATTGTGTGTTGATTTCCAGTAGGGTATCTCTTCTGCTGTTCTATTTCTGTACTTGAAAGTACAAGTTTTCAGTGTAAGATGTACTTAAGTACTGGAGACAGTAAAAACTGGCTTCCTGTTTGCCATTTACTGTGTGTATTTTCTGGCTTTATATTTGTGAGAGGATAGTGATAATATTTTTCTTCTACAACCATGGTCCAAATTGAAGATCCTTGTATAATTCTTGGCCAAGATTATTTGATTTTTACTACTGTACAGCTACTACTTCCTCCGTTTATATTTTAATTTTTTTTTCTTCTCCCCTTAACAATGGATTATTTTCTTTAAAACAGTAGAGAAAATATTAAATGCAAAAATCCTATATAAGTGCTTATTCTCCAAAGTGCTTATTTTAGTAGTTTCACTTGACTTTGTGGAATATGAAGCCGCTGCATTTAATTTGTGAATTAGCACTTTCATCACGTTTCTTGACAGCATATTGCCCTTTACACTGTACTGACAAAGGTTACCAAGAAGTTGGTACTTCTACCCATGCTTCCTGAAAAAAAATAAAATCTCTTGACCTTCAGTGTCTGGGCTCAGCATTGCTTTGCTGGGTTTCTATGGTGAAGGTACCTAACTTGGTCCCTATAATTTCAGCACTTATTCTAGCTTTCTAGAATAAAACCTTGTCCCTCATGGCCTTCTTTTCCTTGAAAGTCTGTGAACAGCTGACTGTTGAAAAGCTAGCTGCCTCCCTCTGTAAACCCCCACTCTTCCTCCTCCATTTACAATGTGTCCCCTGCTCTGTTTGCACTAGAAATCAGAGTTGATGTTGATCTCTCCCAATCACACAAGGTAATACAGATACAGTTTATTCTTTCTGTCTGCTCACTAATAAATGATTTGGGAAAGGTCAAGCTGAGCAATTTTGAAGTGATCATTTAAAATGCTGCTTGCTGTATCTTGAGGATTTTACACTTCCTATTTACTTAGGTAAATAAGTAACATGTACAGTCGACAACTGTACTCATGTTTTAGTCAGAAATAGTAAGCAGAGGCAAGTAAAAGCTTTATTTTGAATTTTTACATCTCATACAAGACAGTCACTTTATATTTAAGAATATGTATTTGTAAATGCTTCTGTCATTTAGTCTTGAAGTTTTCTACCATCTTTCTTTCAGTGGAGAAAGACACTAGAGGAAACATTGTATTTCCACTCTATGGCAAGTCATAACTCTTGCTCCCACAGAAATGGTTTTTTAGTTTGTCTGTAGTTTTGTCAGTGGTCTCAGTGACAGTGTTTTGTTTCTGTGTGTAGTATGAAGAGTGTTGCCTGTAGAAGTTGCATAGCTCTAAGTAGTCAATTGGCTTTTCTTCCTCAGAATTAGTGCCATTAGTTGTACTATTAATATTTCCTTAAAGTGTGAAATAAAGAAGCAAGTATTTAGGTAGCATTCATTACCTTTCTTTGTGGAATCAATGATATTGAGGATTGAATGACAGTTAGAAGATATTGAAGACAGTAGAAATTCTAGGCCAAATAAATTATCAAAATACTCAAATCCCACAATCATGAAACTCTGTGTTCCATAAGAAAATGATGTCTTCTGTAGCACATCATTAGGTTTTCTCACGGTATTTTCTTTATTGGATCTGATTCTGCTCAGACTGATGGAGTTCTGAATTGAGGGGTAAGGGTAGCAACTATCTCTCTTGTCCTTAATTGAAAATAAAGCTTCTAGAGAACAATTCAGTCCATTTTATAAGATTTCTTTCCTAACTGAAGTTAAGGAAGTTAAAGTTGATATTAGCAAAATTGTATGTTATATCACAGCTTCTAATAGTTTGTGGTTGTAGTTTGTTTTTTGTGTTTGTTCCTTTTCTGGTGGAGGACTGTGTTGGTCCTGGAACAGTAACATACAGTTTTCAGAAAAATTCACTACTCCATGTAATGTAATGTATGGTCTCAGTTTTGGTGTTTTCACTCTCTTATCTGGCATAGAAACCGTGATTATGCTTGTGATTATGTGCTATGAAAAAAAAAAGTATCTTGAAGATGTCATGGTCCCTGTGCATTGGATTTTCTTATCTGATTGCTTTTGTGAAGATTTGCAAGACTGAATAGATGTTTACAAAGCAAGTGCAGCCATTTTCTGTCCCTCCCTATGCCCCAAACCTATTAATAGCATTTGTTCAGAAAGGAGGACTTACATAAATTGCTAAACAGTAATAATGTGCAAGGAAATTAAGTAAATTAAATGATACCTCCTCCCCTTCCCCCAAATAGTACAAAGGAATGAAGAGCTCATTTCAATGATTCTTCCAGTACGAAATTTTCTTTGCAATTGCTGGAGCTAATAAATAATCAAGTGTCTAGAGCTGCCTGCTCATCAAGGAATTCTCATAACAGAAAAATATCTTTCCAGCCATTACTTAGAATTTGCAACTAGGAAAAAAATGTTTTAGTTTGAGTAGCATGCAAAAATTCTTTCATTAGGGAACTAGAAATTTGCCATTGTGTTGCCTAAAATGAAGTCTCAGTATTTTTTCCTCTTTTTTCTAACCAACGGGTAAAATGCTTTTATGTGTAATTTCCTTTTGCTTTAAATTCTGCTTAGGATGGAGATCTTAATTTAAGAATTGATTATTGTTTCTACATCCTTCACTTATGAGAAGAAAATCTTTTTTTGTGGAGACCAATTCAGCAAACTGTTTGTGTGTGAAAAGACAGAGGGTACAGAATTTATTTTTTCATTCCTTTTGGAGGTGAACTGAGGCTTCCTAAGGTTAGAACAGTGTCAAGGAAGTAGGCTTTAAAAACATGAAAAAATATTTCTGAATGTAAGCTTGCAGCCATCCCTCCCTAGTCTCTCGTTTTAAATAGTGTTTTAGATGAAATCTACCAAGAACAGAGACAAGCTGTGTCAAATTCAAATGCTGCTCTTCTCTACATTAATAGCAAGCTAGTGTTCTCCTGCATTAGAGTTCTATGTCAGAGTTGAAGGGCAGAGAAGAATTCAGGAAACCACCTGCACCTAGACTGCTTTGGGAGCAAATGTTTCTGGAAAAACGTTCAGAGAGCATTAAAGTTCGCTTTTCTCTTTCGCTTGTAGTAATTGTTGGCATTGTTGCAAATTTCTGTGCAGTTCTGCTCTTCAAGGGTGTTACCTGTTGGCCATTAAATTATTGACATCATTTCCCTTCAGAGAACCAGAGAAACGCTGTGTGTTCCCTTAGTGTTGCACCCTCTACCCTGTCAGGTCCATGTGCACTTTTCCAGACCTAGTTTGTGTTATCCTGTAGTTAAAAAAGTGGCTCCTCCACAGATTCTCATTGTTGGCATGGCATGTCCACAGTTCCTTCAGCTTTGATACCTGTAGTGTTACTGTAATGGTTACTCTGTTCATGGTTGGGGGTGGGAGAAGGAAAACAAAATTCGTTTTGGGTGATAACAACACACTAAAAAAATCTCTTCTGTGGTTGCATGTGACATTGTGGTAGCAATAGGTGAAGTATTTCTGAACCATGCTTTTTGGTAAATATCTCTCCTAAGCTTCAAGGCTTTTCTCAGATATCATAGACAGAGCCCTTTAAATGCTATATAATGGTTTTGAAATTATATAACAGAGCTTGTGTAGGCATAAGGCAAAATTCTCACTGAATATGAATGGCTTTATTTAGTGAGAAGAGTGTTTTTTCAAGGGCCAGGCACATTTTACTTGGGGGTAAAGGGAATACTTAAAAATAGTCTCAGCTCTCAGGCCACACTTCCCTTTGATAGCAACAAAAGAAGCTTATTTTCCCTCAGTTGATAGGTTTTGCATTGAGGAAAAGACTTTAGTCTTGTTGAGTGATTTCTGTGTGCCAGTTCGCCAAGGCTTGGAGCTACACCTGCTACCTCTGGGACTTACAGAAACATTCACATTGTGATTACTGCTAACCATCAATGATGGTTCCACAGGTTTTTTCATAATTTAAAATAGATTTATGGTAGACAAATATACTTTCAACCCGTTCTCTATGACAGTAGCTGTAATGACTTGCTCTCATCTCCATCTCCTTTTTAATGTTCTTCTCCCACTGTTTTTTCTTCCCTTCTTAAAACAGTGGATAAAGTTTCATATGACAATGAGTTTAAAAAAATTAACCCCAGGTCCTGTTTCTAATAGTTGTCAGTCATTGGCTTTGAAGGAAGGATGTAAAGACTTAGGATTTCCCTATATATTTCACTATTTTCCAAATGTTCCCCAGCTCAGTGGTTTCCGAAAACAGGTTGTGGCTTTATGCTAAGCCTTCATTTTTTCCCTTGTTTCTTTCTGTTTATTTTTCTTGTTTCTTATTTTTCTTTTTTTTTTTTCTTGTTTCTTTCTCAGGATTCCTTTAAAGAACTCATGATAGACTTTTTTGAAGTAACATTCCTTCACATCAAATCTATTCTTATATCTATTGCGGTTTTTTACCAACTTGCTTTGTAGAAATATCTGTAGTGATTGTCCCTAACATCCATGGATGCCAAAATATTGCCACTTTTGGCATTTGTCATTGTGATGGTACCAGTGCTGTTCTCAACAATTATCCTACTTTCTCTCCCATGCCCTCCCCAACACATGCACTGTACCATCCTATGCTAGTATGTACTTTGATTCTGGACTTTTCTCCTGGAGGCAGGATTTCAGTGGTTGTAGCTATTAATATCTCTTATTAACAGTTGAAGATTGTGAAAACATAGGTAGGTTTTTTTAAGTTGTTTTTTTTGTATGTGTTATCACTCAGGAGAAGTCCTTTCATATTATCTGGTTTCCAGTCATTCCATGCCTTTGAAATAAATTATAGATGGATGTAATGCTCTGAATGAGGTCATATAACTACAGTTTAGTTCCTGGCACTTTGTACATGAACTAATTATTGCTTTTTTCCCTTTCTTCTTTGTAGACTCTTTCATCATACTATAAGGGAGGATTTGAACAGAAAATGAGTAGGCGAGAAGCAAGTCTTATTTTAGGTGTAAGGTAGGTGTGTTGCATCAATATGTTTTTACTTCAGCAAGTATTGAATGAAGCAGATGCATGTTGCAAGAATGTGGAATCCTCTTGCCAAAATCATAACTTTTTTTGTAAAAGACTTCTAATGGCTTATAAATTATTCTAGTACTCTGCTTAAACTAAAAAGCAAACAATAATATGCTCAGAAAAATATAACTTTTGTTTGGGTTGAAGGCATGGTAACATACTGCAGTGGAGAATTGTTCTTGTTCTGCCCTAGGTCCATTTCAGCAGAGCCACTCCCCACCCAGGCATTTCCCAGCCTCTAGCATTGCAAGGGAGACTGAGTCCCCAGTACCAGGCTCTGCACCCATCCTTGTGGAATTTTGTGAAGGGTTCCTGTCAGCCCCTTCTTGCAGCCTCTGGAGGTGCCTCTGAATTTTAGCCCTGCCCTCCAGCGTATCAGCTGTTCCCACCATAGTGACAGACTTCTTGGCCAGTGGGTGATGTTCGAAGGCAGCATGATGTTGGTGTGAGTCCCATTGCGAATCAAGGAAAATGTGATTTTAACATTATATATTTTTCTCCTAGTGATAAAGAATCTTTAGAGCCCACTGTGGGATAAACAATATCTCATAAACTAAGGAAATTTGAAGTAAACCCCTCTTTCCACAGTTGGTTCTTTGAGCAGACCTGCGTGATCTTCTGTAATATTCAATTGCCCCTTTTCCCCAGTTATGGTTTAGAACCATCTGAGGTTCTAAATGTGGTATAACAGCTTTCCTTTTTAGTATTAAAAACAGCTGTACAAATCAAAATATAGATGATTGTTATTTATGGTTGTGTGATAAATCATTTTGGTTTTGTATCTATATAATCCAAGACCCTTCACCCTCTGTTTGTTTCTTACTTTCTACGTCACTTTCTGTTCAATTGAAGCATTCTTTTTTACGCAGTTCTGTGAACTATTTTTGCAACATACACTAATTTCACTGTGACAGAATAATAATTAGAGAGGTTGTTTACCTCAGGAATTTAGTTGGGCTGATACATTGCATTCAAGCTGTAGCTACAGAAAGATTAATTAATTGAATCATCACTGATTAAGAAGTCACCTGAAGTGGAAAACACTGATTAATTTCTGCATACTAACAAATTATAAAAAACTGAACCATTCAAACTGTCCTTTTGCATACAAGAGTTTTACTGTGTTGGCATACTGCATCCATAAGTGGTTATTTGTCTGGTAAGGTACATATTTTGTATTTAATTTAGGCCAAATACATATTTTATGTATGCCATTGAAGTAAACAATATTATGTAGGTAGCACCTGTAAATCAATGTGTCCCTGAATGTAACACATTGAACAGCTTTGCAAAAAATAACACATACAGGCATTATTTTCAGGCCCCAGTAGAAAGAAAAAATATTTATAGCTGCTATAAAAATATTTACAGTAGAACAAAATGTGATAATATTAAATATTTGTTGTTTTGTCACTGGTCATAAAGATATTTATTTTCTTGGAGGAAAAATTGTATTTTCTGCATTTAATGCTAGAATAACCAACCAGATATACCCTAGAACTGCTGGGGCTATCTTGTTTTTCCCCCCTCACATTTTTTATTTTAAATGAGTGGATTTATTACATTCTACAAAAACCTGAAAGATACTTGTATATGTCACATACACAGGCTTTTGAAAAATGTCATTCTCTTTGCCTTATGTGCCTTTGTTGTTGTTGCTTCCTCAGAGATGCAGTTTTATGTTTTGTCCACCAGATGGTGAAAATCTCAAGTTTCAATTATTTTTGAAGCCAGTATAAGCTGTTAATTTTTAGCCTGAGTTCTCTGGCATTTCTTGTAAGCACTTCAATTTGTTTTTGCAGTCCATCTGCTGGCAAGGACAAAATCAGAACAGCGCATAGGAAAATCATGATTTTGAATCATCCTGATAAAGGTAAATAATTACTACTTTTCTTAACTAGGGCTCGAAAGGAAGAGGCTTAAATGAGATCCTTCAAATTTTCTGACTGTGTAAATAACCACATCAACTACAAATGTTTGTTGTTTATTGACTTGATCTTCTGTGTGTCGTCTCAGATAAACTGAGCTTTATGAACCAGTTTTGCTCATTTTTATTTAAAGTTGTTTTCTGTATTTGTGCTGCTTCAGTTAAGACTATGAGCTCAGGGACCAGTTTTCCACACTTGGCAAAAACTTCTTGAAAAATAAGGGAAAATAAGCTATAAAAATCTTACATTAAAATAAAATTGCTGTTTTGAACTGTGATGGACCAGTTGCATGCATGAAAGTAATTTTCTGTGGGGAAATGTTTTGCAGTTACTAAGTACATCATTGATGAATTTGAGACTTTATGGAATTCACTTGGAAAGAATGTAAAGCTGGGCATTCTTGGTTTACTGGCCGGGTTTTTAATGTAAATTTATCTTAGAGAAAGGCTATTATTATAACTTTAACTACACTACAGCTGGTTGAGAAAGAAAGCCCATATGTTCATTGCTGTCTCTGCTTTAAAATAACAGATGGTGAAGAGTTGCACTGTATTTCAGAAGTCAAAAGGGGAAATCAGAGGGTTTTTATTTCTTTTTGACAGAATTATAGGCTCCCTACCAGCACCCCATTTTAAGAAAATGAAAAGTGTCTCCACTGGCCATGGGAAGTGTTTAGTTGATGCTTTTCTCTCTTCATCCCTCATTTTAGTGTAAAAGCTGTCCTGCTTGTTTGATTTCAAACCTTCATTTTTTACTCTTTTTGTAATGTATAAGTTGTACAGACCTAGAAAGGAAATTCTCTTCTTTGTTTCTAATATATTACAGTGGTCAAAAGTCTCTTAACCACCAGAGTCCCTATTAGGTCAAGTTTTATTAATAATGAACTTCTACATTTGTTGTAGCAGTATGTGGACACGTGAGCCAAAGAGAATTGTGAATCTCCATGTGGATATTGAGTGTATGTGAAGAGATGCTTCCTGTTAGGAAGATCCTAATGAACCTAACAAAGATTTTAATGCTGCACTCTGAGAGTTTTAATGCCCCTGCAGCTGGGCACACTGTAGGTTTGGATGGATGCAGTGAGCCCTCCTGTGTGATAGTGAGACACCGAGCGTTTTCTCAGTGGGAGCACCAGTTGTAGGGATTTGTGCTTCTCCATGCCCCTGAAGCTCTTCTGGCATGGCTGTAGAAAAAAACCTTAATATCTTCAGCTGCAGAGTGAGGGCCTGGAGTAATCTTGAACATGTGGTACCACAGAGAGGCTTGTTTGCTTGTGTATAGATCAGTTCTGGCTGTTGGTAGCACAGATGTTCATTTAAAAATAATATTCAACGGTATAATGTAATTTTGAAATAATATTTTACCACCTGGAGATGATAGAAGAAAGAGCAGTAATTGCAGATTTTAAGTTACATGTGTTCTGAGATCCAAACTGTTGGAGAGAGAAATATTAGAAATAAATAAGAAAATATATAGAAATTTGCATGAAAACATCCCCAGAGAGTACTACTGAAATGGTTGCTTGTTAATCTTTACAGTTCAGTTTTAAAGTGTTTTTATATTGATACATTGTATGTTAAGTTATCAGTTACAAATTTTTATGAAAGAACATTTCCTCACAGAAAAAAAAAAAGAAGAGAGAAACCTTTTGGACTTGCCTTAATTATAAACAAACACTTAGGCAATCATGAGATTGAATTTCCTCTCATTGGAGGGCTACAAAATTAATATGGCACTTAAGGATGTAAATGTAGTGAAAACACTTCTAACAGATTTGAATTTACTTTAAGATGCTGTATTCTAGACAAGTAGAAAATCAATGTGCATTTAAAAATTACTTGGAATACATTGTTTATTGCAGGTTTTAGTCTTTACTGTTTGTTTGATCCTCTTACCTACTCTGTGAAAGAAGCTGTAGTCAATGTAGTAATCCTATTCCTTGCTACAAAGCTACTTGATTTAAGAAAAGAAAAAAAAAATTCTTTTTAGAATAGTCAATTCATCACTCATCCCTTGCCCTGCCTCACTTTCCTCCAGTGTGGCTTACTTATTAGAACTAAAGCACTCAAACAAGACCAAACCATGGAAAAGAACTTTTTTTTTTCTGATTGTTATACTACAGTATGAAATTACACTGATTTGGATTCCTGCAGCAATGACCTAAAGAAGTCTTTAAGCAAGCCTCACCTTTTTATTTGTATGTGTCTACAACTAGCTCTGCATGTTTTTTCTATCATTGTTTTTTCTGATTAATAGAATGAAGGAAATGGTGAATGAAAAGAATTAGGTTGAACAAATGCCTTGGAAAAGGCTGTGCAGTGCACAGTACTGCTGGAATCACATTTTCACATTAAAATATAGGTGTATTATAGTAAGTGGTAAGTTACTGATATAGACCTTGCAGTGTTGTTTTTGGTGACTGTGGGCAGGTGGCTGGCACTCAAGGGGAGACTGAAAAAAAACCCAGACACAAAAAGACTGCTGAACTGTAATCAGATGGTTAGATGGAGTGTAGAGCAATGGCAGTGTTCAGCACTAGGAGTTAGGAGGTGTACCATGTTTAAATAGCTTTATTGTGATGAGTTCTGGCTGCTAACTTTGGGCATCTCACACAGGAGATGCTTGCACAATAGTTCTTTGTCAAAGTTATTTTAAAATTTTACCTCTCAGTTTTTAGTATGAGCAGAAGTAATTGCTGTTAGGTTTGAATGAATGTTCAGGACAGCTGACCTTGCATACATCTGCAGTAGCATCCCACTGCAGATCTAAATCACAGGATGTAAAGTGATTTCAGATTTCAGTCTTCTCTCTGAGACAAGTTGTTCTGTGTTATTCTACAGTGATTTCAGTTTTGTTTACATTTCTCATGTTTCGTTATCCATTAGTTTACTTCTTATCAATGTCAGTTGTATCAAAAGGATCTGTGTAGGAAAGAGATAATAAAAATGAATAATAAAGAGATGCTGCAAGTGAGATAGTTTGGTACTTAATACTAATGTGTAAACAGTATTCCTTTCCCCTTTCTCTTCTCAGGTGGATCACCTTACTTAGCAACCAAAATAAACGAAGCAAAAGACTTGTTGGAATCCAGTGCCAAAAACTGAAACCTGAAGCCTTGGGTCATAGGAGATTCAGCAGATACATTGTGCAATAACTTTCATGTCTGCTTCTTCTGCACAGTTTCTTAACATTGATTGTTCATATTTACTGTCATAATTAAAATGTTAAGATTATTTAAAAGGAAACTGAAATCTTTTACAGTTATGTAAAGTTATGTACAGTTATGCCCCTGCAAGGAGCAGGGAGTTGGAATGATGATCCTTACGGATTCCTTCCAACTCAAGATGTTCTATGATTCTGTCCCAATTTTAGTGTATTCTTACTGAATTACAATCCCTTACAATCTTGGAAAAGTTCTTTTAACTGTGTTTTTTTCAGAAGTACTTTTTTGTTTCTTTTGTTAAATTTTGGATCTTTTAAAGTAAAAATTTCAAAACAGTCTTTAATATAGGGTTTTTTCTTCATTAGTAAAGAAACAACCCTATCTTCAGGGTCACCATAAAATCTGTGACAGTGCATTGAGTCACAGGACATATGACAGACCCTGTTTGGCAAGTTTTCAGCACCACCTTATGCTTGAGTCTGTTCATTTGTGAAGTAGTGGGGTTTGTTCATGGGTACAGTTTGAGAGCTGCAGCTCAGGACAAAATGACTGATAGGACTGCAGACAGCAGCTTCCACTAGGTGTGTTTTTGGGGCTAGGAAGGAGGATTCTTGGGTTTGGTTACTTCTTTTACATATTAAAGGATCTCTGAAATTATCAAGTAATTATTTAGACATGCTTTTATTTCAAGTCACAGAGTATGTTTAATCTCTAGCAATTGGGGTGAACGTGGGGTTTTCTGCAAGGGTTTTTGTGGCAGTGGGATTGAAGAAGGTAGGTCCATGTGGCATGGTTTAGATGGATTTTCCAGGCTGCTGCTTGTCTAGGTTAGCCAAGTTGTATGAGCCTGGTGCAGGACTGATAATAGCAGGGAACAAACAGGAGTACCTGCTTTGCACATGGCTCCAGGAGCACTTCCTGGGTTAGTTCTTCAGTAATGCTCACATATCTGCATTATGCTTCATATACCAGAGCATACATACCTCCCTCCTTATGTAGCATCCTAGCAATCTAGTGCTGGCTTTGGGGAATCCTGAAGTCAGGGATCTCAGACTTCAGAGAGAGCAAGTTTTAATTGACAGCTCAGGGTGGGTGCTTCTTGGGGCACTTGGCTGCTGCAGATTGCTACCACTAAGTTGTCCACAGTTGAGTTAAATCTCCTAAGCACAGACAGTCTAGTGCATTCAGTACAAGACTGAAAAACCTCTAGTGTCTATTCAAACTCTATCATTAGAGGTACAACCAACAGCTTACTGAAGTGCTACAAATACAAAATTTAGATACTCCATTTTCTAGGTTATTTAGCCAGAGGTAAGAGGCTAAGAGCAGTTAATATGAGGTTGGATGCTTTAATTATTTATTCACCAGAACGTGCATTTGTAGTTCATCCAGTGATGGATGCTCAGATTATGTGGATTTTTCCTTGAAAGGAGGAAAAAGTACAAATTTTTTTAATCAGGTTCCTCACACTTTGTCACAATTCCCTTACTTTCATTAAAGGGAGATGAAAAATTTTAAGTTGACCCTAAAAGAAAAGAATAATTCTAAGTACTTTAGAGACTGTGTTGCAATTATAGTGGCAAGACATGGCACAATTTCACTGGAAAAAGCAAAAAAGACTGCTGGGAGAAACCTGCCTGGGAATAGCACATGGTATACAAGTACTACAATTGCATCATGTAACTAGTGCTCTAATACAAGAATCTTGAATGAACATAGTTTATTCCTATGCAGTAGCTTTAATTGGTTCCTGTTAAAAGAGTAGCCATCAATTAATGGACATTTAGGGTTAGTCATTCTTTTCACTGGTGTATCAGTCTGTATTGGCAAAAAAATAGAACCATGACAGTTCTCATGTTGGAAGGAGACAAGTGAAATGGTGGTGTTCTAATTTTCTGAAGTGGAATCTGTAAGTGATATGAGTCATTGTGCAAAATCAAAATTGATGTGAATGGTAGGTGGTAAAAACATTCTACTTAATGATTTTGAACTGACTAGCTGTTGTTTTCATATAGCTACCTTATTTTTCCTGGATAAAATGTGTTGCAGAGAGCTGTTCTAAAGTATCAGTTAAAACAGATGCATTAAAGATGGCTTTTTGCTCTGTTCTTAAAAATGAGCTTCCCATGTCTTTGTAAGAAGTAGAGGGTTTGTTATTTTCTGTGAGATTCTATTGTTGATAGTTTCCTTCCTGATAAAATTATTTATATCTGATTATTTTGGATGAAACACTTTTTTCTGTCTTTCAGTTATGAGAGAGATTGTCCTTAACAAAAAGAAATAAAACTGAGTTCTGGTTGTGCTTTCTACATTTTTTTCAGAACAGACTATTGACTGCTTAAAAAATTTGATAAATTAACAAATTAATTAAAAATTCAGCAGATTAACTGGCTCATCCTATCTCTGGAAAATGCTGTAAAATAAATGAAGCTAATGAGGAGCAGTTGTAAAAGCATCACACATACAATAGCATATTTTTTCTTGTCTGTTTACCTGCAAAGCTTGCTTTACCTACTAAGTGATGTTTAGAAGGATGAATATAGGACAAGGAAAGGCAAATCATGGAAGTGCTGCTCGATTTGTTGTTGTTGATAGTCAGCATGGCAGGCTGAGGAATGTCTTTGGATACTGCCGTGCGAAACAGCACCTGGATTGATGCTCAACTGAGCTGGGAAGAGCAGGATGCTACTATTTTTAAAAACATAGCCTGGTAATTTAATCTTAAAAATATTCAGCCTCTCGAGACTATTTTCTTTACTTGTCAAATGGGTAAGTGTTTTTGTGTAAGGAAAGTGCATAGAGGTTGATTTATTCTGGTGCAATTTCTGTCCATCTGTAGTACAAGCAGACTCATTTTTCATGTGTTGCTTTAATGTTCAGAAAATGTTCATCTGTAACTTCTTAGCTTGGGAATTCCCAGGTGTTTTTCTACTGGGATGATAACCAGTCCCAGATATCCTCTACAGCTTCAGAAGTCAGGCAGGACTGAGTGCATTTATATGGCATTGCTGTGGGTGATTCCCAGTTTATTTAATGAAGCAAGACTTGCTCATCTGCCTGATTTTTGCTCTTAGTCTGTGGAAGTTTTACCTAATATTTCATTGTTTACCCTTCATACAGGGGAGTTAGGGATAGGTCTACAAAAACACCCCGTGAAATCTGATTATCTGCCTTTGCATGAGTGCCACTTGCAAAACTTTTCCTGGCTTAGGATGGGACTGGGATAAAATTTAGACACAGTTCACAAAACCTTTGCCTGATTTTCTAGGTAGTTTTAAAGGTAAAAATTTACTGTCCTGTGTGCTTGGATTTTTGCTTCTGTATAAGTGTAAAATTACTTTCTTCTTGCAAGGTCTTTGCTCAGTTCAACACTTTTCTCATCCTTAAACCAACAGATTGGGTGTCTGGTGTCCTCAGTTCCCTAAAAAGCCTGATCTGCTATCTGTGTTTGTAGGGTGCCTCATCAGCCTGGGTGTGAAAATCACAATATCTGACCTGCTACTCAGGTGAGACTGGTGATGAAGCTGGGCTGAGGAGGTGACAGCCCTTGCTCTGCTTCCTGCTGCAGCTGCACCTTGCTGCAAAATGTAAGGCTCATAAAGCCTGTGAGATTGCTGGGCCTGCGTACTGAGCTCAGGTCAGCTTCAAACTGTGAAATGATGCCTGAACAACTTAAGGACATTCACCAGCTGAGGTATTACTGACTTCTTAGGAGACTCATTTCCCACAGTTTGGCCTTTGGGGTTTTTCCTTTAATTCTGACTCTTCTATGAGCATCTGTATGCTAGTCTGACTGGCAAGCAGCACGGTAGACTGGCACTAAATGGCCAGCTAAACTTTCCTGAATTTTTAATTGAATTACGACAAAACAAATGTTTTCCGTGGGTCATGAACAGCAGGTTTTTGTGTGTAGATTGCAAAGCCATATTAATGAATTTGGATCACCACCAGCACAATCCTGGGACTTTTGAACTTTGTCATTTCAGCAAACAAGTTGTGTGTACGTGTATGTATAAGCGCACACATGTTTATACACATACACAGAGCTTTTCTGGATCCTGTGTGAAATTTTCCATCTGCACTGGGGCCCACTTTTAAAAAAGGATACTTTTCTTGATTTTTTTTTTGTTTACTAAATTTTCCAAATCAGATCAAGGTAGCAAAAATAATGCCAAAATAAATTAGAGGTCTTAATTTAATTATGTGCATAAATAGGAAGCCAATTTAAAAAAAAATCAACACACACCACCCAAATATCTCCAGTTTTTTCATTTTACTGAGTTTATTCTCAGTGTTGCTTTTGTATACATAATACATGCAGTGTAGTTATGAGTCTCTTAAAAAAATAGTGTTCTTCTGTCATCATACTGTATTTGCCTAAAATCCTAGTACCCAACTTTTTTTAAATGAGGCAAAAAAAAAAAAATACAGCTTTTTGGGATGTTGCCCTAATAATGTTTTCTGTTTGAAAATTATTACAATTTAAGCTACATTTAAAATATGCTTTTGTATTTTACTCTGGGGGCATTGAGTAGGAAGGAGAGAATTCTAAATCATCATTTGATGTCTTACTGATTGTTAATGGTCAATGAACCATGGATACTCGTGAATACTTGAATTGCCAGCCTAGTTAGCAATACATCTACTTCCTTTATTACTAGGGAATTGCAAAACTATACTTAGAATGAGAAATATCATTTTGACAATGGTACCATAATCAGATTACCATTCTTAAGATTTTTCAAGAGGTAGTTATGGAACGCAGAGTAATTGCTCTACAGCTTCATATGACAATAAAGCATGTTCTATTGCAATTTCCTTATTTATATACTAGCTTATAAAAGGAGAGGTTCATTAGCTGGATTTTTTTTAATATAGCAAATACTGCAACTCATAAACTGTAATTTAAAATAGTGGCAAATTTCTCCAAAATTACTGTATGATGTAAATATTACATAAAGCATTGTTCTGAATATAGTGATTCCTCCTGACTTGGATTTGTTCTGAGCAACTTGAGCATTCCTTACATCTGGCAGATGAGTGAACAGTTTGTAATGCAAGGAACAGTAGAGGTCCTAAACATTCCAGGAATGCAATTTGAGTAATACAATGTTAGGAAGTAATTCTTCACTATGGGGGTAAGTGAGGCACTGGTACAGGTTGTTGAGAGTGGTTGTGGATGCCCCATCCCTGGAATTGCTCAATTCCAAGCTAGACTGGGGCCTGAGCAACCTGGTCTGGTGGAACCAGACTTAGACCATGGCAGGGGGGTTGGACTACAGGATCTTTGATGACCCTTTCAACCTAAACCATTCTGTAATTCTGTAATATAATGAAAGAAGCATAAAATTCTAGTGAAGAACTCAATAGATAGATAAGTTGTTGGCATGACTGGGAGGAGATGGAAGTGGTTAAGGGGCTTACTCTGTGGAAAGGCTGGTTTGTCCTGGGTTGTTTCCTGTTCAACAGACTTCTCCGTGACCTGGAGAAGGAGACTGAGCTCGGTCTCATCAAGTTTACCAATGATGCCAAATTATGTGAACCAGTCTTTACACTGGAGGGAAGAGCTGACATTCAGGGGGACCTGGAGAGGCTGCAGGAACAGGGTGGCTGGAACCCTTCATGAAATTCCAGAGGGTGGGTGCAGAGCCAGGTGCCTGGGAAGGAAGTGCCCCTTGAAGTTCTAGGGACTGGGGAATGCCAGGCTGGGGAGCAATTCTGCTGCAAGGGGCCTAGAGCACAGCAAGAACAAGAGCTGGTGGCACGTCCTGGCAGCAGAGAGGGACAGCAGCCTCCCAGCTGTGGGAATGGGAGCTCGGTCACCAGCTCTTCTCAGCCAACCACACTGTGCTGTGGCATCCAATCTGGAGACCTCTGAACAGGATGGACATTGGCCAACCACAGCAGGTCCAGCAAAGGCTACCCAAGTGTATGGGGGCTGAAGCTCTTGCCTGTGAGGAGGGGCTGAGGGTGTAGGCCTTGTTCACCCTGAAAAAGGAAAGTGCTGCTGGGGGACCTCAGAACAGCCCTCAGCATCATAAGGTCATAAAGAACATGGGTATAGGCTCTCCACAGTCATGCATGGTGAGAGGTTGAGAGAAAAGGGCTTGAAGTTGAAAAGAGAAGTTAGACATAAATAATACTGTTTTACCCCACAATCCAGCAGTGCCACAGGTTTTGCCCAGAGAGGCTGTGCATTATACTTCCTTGGGAGTATTTCAAGATCCACAGTTCTGACCCTGCATGTGGCCTTGCTTTGAGCAGCAGGTAAGGCCCAGGACTTCCTGAAGTCCCTCCCTACCTGAATTGTCCTGTGCAATGAGATCCAGTGGGAAGGACAGATGTCAGGGCTATGATAACAAAGGAGCCACGTTCAGGGAAATACCCTGCAGTAGTTCTATGCATGGCTTTTGTTTGCTCACTTTTTATAAATTCTGAAGATTCTGAACTTAGAATCATATTTAAAATAGTATTGAGAGCTTCACAAAACAAAATACATGTATTTTAATACCACTCTGTTGGTGTCCTGGAGCCAACACTTCAGGAGACTCTGGGTCCAGTCTTGGTGCTGCTGGACCTGTCAGTCCTTTGTTCTTAATACTGGGTGGTGGGAAGCTTTCTAGTCTCTACTGGGCCAGGAACAAAGATGTTCTGCCTTGTAAAACTGGCAGTGCTGTGAACAGACAGAAATACCTCCCGAAATCATCCACACCTGGTTACCGTGTTCACCAGTGGGCCAGCCCATTATTGTTTCACGCTTCTCACACTGGGATCAGTGGGAATTTCTGTGGAAGGAACTGCTGCAGGGAACAAATTGATCACCTAAGAGAGGCTTAAAGATCTGAGTGCTGAGTTACTGACAGCAGGTCAGGTTTCTTGAATTAAGTAGAGGACTTCCAGATTCCCAGTTAGGTTTATTTTACTTGCAGCTGGGGGAGAAGCAGAGTGATTCCCATTTGAGATAAAAAAGTCCTTTGCAAGCTCTGATTTGTTATGTTTCTTCTGATCCCGATGTGTTATTTAACCACCAGTCCCCATCACTCTCGACAGCACGTGGATACCCTTTCAGCAGGGGCTTAAATACCTGGCAATCCCAGAGCAAGCTGGGACCCAGGAGCTGCCACCACAAAGCAACATCTGCAACTTCCTTATGTTCTCAGTTAGCATCTCCCTACATTGTTATTACACAATTAAATATTTCAATGTTGGGTGAGTTGGCTTTGGTCTTTTCCACCACTGCCATCATTAAGATACAATCCTGCAGATATTTCCAGAGCTCCTGCCTTCTCTTTAAGCCATCTTCTCAATA